GCGTGTGCTACCCACCTCTACGGAAAGGAGCGTGTACGGGCGAATGTGCTAGAGATGAACGCCTCCGACGACCGTGGTATTGATGTGGTGCGACAGCAGATCCGAGAATTCTCGAGCACCACGTCCATCTTTTCCATGGCCAGTAGTTCCTCCGGTGCGAGGAAAGTGTCGTTTAAGTTAGTGATACTAGACGAGGCGGACCAAATGTCGCACGACGCTCAGGCGGCACTGCGCCGTGTGATTGAAAAGTACACCAAAAATGTTCGTTTTTGCATCTTGTGCAATCACATCAATAAAATCATCCCCGCGCTGCAGTCCCGCTGCACTCGCTTCCGATTTGCCCCCGTGCGAAAGGCAGATATGCTCCCACGGCTGCAGCAGATTGCGGAGGCAGAAGGCATCAAGTACACCACGGAGGGACTTGGTGCGGCGTTCCGTCTCAGCCAAGGAGACTTGCGACGCTGCTTGAACACCTTGCAGTCCTCTGTGCTCTCCTACAATGAGATATCGGAGAAATCCGTCTACGATGTCACTGGCAACCCGTCGCCCAAGGAGGTGTCCACGATGGTCTCGGACATGCTCTCCAACGACTTTGTGACGAGCTGGGAAAAGGTGTACAGCAGCGTCTTGGACAAGGGCGTCTCCGTGATGGACCTCGTACGGGAAATGCACCCGATTGTCATGTCGATGGAGCTCCCTGCCGACTGTAAATGCTTCCTGTTGATCAAGCTGTCGGACTTGGAGTACTACTCCGCCTGTGGGGCGAAGGAGATTTCCGGCCTCAGCGGTTTAGTGAGCGCCTTCCAACTGGTGAAGGAGGCGGTGACGCAGCGGAAGGCCATAAAAGATTTACTTTCATAGAATGAGTGGTCATATACACTCCTAGCAATCCATAAATATTTATCTTGTGTCGTGTCGTCGTATATACGTCCCCCTACTTGCTAGTAGGTCCGTGGTGTCTGCATGTTGCTTTTCCTTTGTTATACGTGTGCAAAGGTGATTTCATTTTCCTTTCCTATTCCCTTAAGCGTTCACGAATATAGATCATAATTTTACACACTTATTCTAGATATGTCGTCTAGCGACGATGACTTTAGTTGGATGCCCAAGAACAACGCCAACAAGGGTCAGAATGCCATGATGGCTGCCCGTCGTGAGGCACTACAACGCCAACGGGAGCAACAGCAACATCCGCAACCAGGACGTCTTGGGGCACCAACTGCGGATGCCTCTCCTGCGCCTGCCGCAGCCGCCAATGAGAGTCCGAAGCAAGCTGGCGGTTTGGCACAGGAAGGCTCTACCAAATTAGATTCTGTGGAGGCACTTCAGCTAGAAATAGAAACAAAAAAGAAACTGCTGCAGTCCACGAAAGAGCGGGAACAGGCCTTGCTGAACAAGTGGCGGGCCTCGAAAGGACAGAAAACGGCCGAGATACACCAAATAGAGTCTCAGCTGCGTACGCTCTGGAGTTCCGTGGAGGATGAAAAGAGTGTTTCCGAGACAAAGGTGCGCGAGGCACAGGACGCCTACGAGAAGGAGCTCCGGAGTGAGCGCCAAAAGCTGGAGCAGGAGGTAAAGAACGAATATGCCCCTCAAATAGAAGCACTAAAGGCGAAATTGGAGGAAAAGAAAAAGGAGGAAGACAAACTAAAAAGTTTATTGAACATGGAGGATGAGACGCAGGATGTGATTCAGCAGGCGGTCGGGTCCGCGCTGGTGAAGGTGTTGGATAAGATACAGAATGTGTTCAACCAACGGGCCGACGAAACAGAGGAGTGGGACCAGTCACTAAAGGATCTCATACGGCACGAGGTGCGAAGCTCGTTCGCCGTCTCCATGGACAGCGAGGCACAGACCGAGCGGACAGAATACGCACGACAATTTGAGGAAATGCTAAAGTTCTGGAAGACAGCCGAACTGGAAGAACGGGAGAGGGTTACCAAGATGGATGAAATGCTTCTCACCGATCTTCAGAGTATGGCGGAACAGGACATCGCCAGGTTACACAGCGAGGAGCAAATGATGGAGGAGCTCTACCTGCAGTCGAGGGAGAATTGGGCCCTTGAACACCAGAAGCTCCTCTCGAAAGAGGTGGAGACGGCGATGAAGCGACGACAGGAGGAGCTGGATGAGCAGCGTTCCATCCGTCACCAACTCCACGTCGATCGCGTGCAGGACATTGAACAGCGTCACAAGGAGCAGCTGGAGCTGGAGGGACAGCTACACGAGAAGGCCATGGCGCAGCTGCGGGAACATTTTGCCAGGGAAGAACAATTGCAGAGCGATCGTCACCGTATCGCCATGGCGACGGAGCAGGACGTGGTGAAAGCGTCCGCCTCCTTGTATCATATCATAGAAAATATTGAAAATGTGATGCAGTCCTTGCTCACCTATCAACGTGCCATCGATGAAAAGGGCACCCACCTAGAAGGCGCGAAGGTTAAAATGCTGGAGGAACAGGAGAAGAAGCTACAAGAGATCAAGCAACTCGCATCTTCGCAGTACGTATCCTTGGAGGCGGAGAACCACAAGCTGGGGGAGGCACTGCAGGCGCTGATGCTCGTCAAGGACAAGGTAGAGCACCAGCTGCAGGACGAGGCGCAGTGGCTGACCGAGCAAGAGGTGAAGTACAAACGGAATCAGGAGGAGTGGGAGAAGGAGTACAGACGGTGGACCCGCACCGTACAGGAACAGCGTAAACTCGGTGAGCAACGGTTTAGCGAGGCACTGCTTAGTCTTCAGGGATCCGTCACCCAACTGTCGCAAGAGGAGAAGGATATTCTGCGCGAGGAGGCGGAACTGAAGAGCGCCTTCAATGATATTCACAACACCACCGAAAAGGAGATTGTGTATTTAGAGGGGAAGCAAGGCACCTTGATCCAGAAGCAGGAGGCAATGGCGGACACACTGGCCGACCTCGAGCGACAGAAGAAGGACGCCACCCAGCACTGGAAGCAACTGCAGGTGGATAAATCTTCGCTCAACAAGGCCAGAGAGGAATTAGCGGAGGAGGAACTGCGATTGAGCGAGATGGTGCAATCGCTGGAGTTTGCCAAGTGCCAGATCGAGGCGATGAAGCGACAAACCGCGGAGGTGGTGGGGTTCAAGGAGAATCTGTCGAGGCATATCCCCGACCCCCAGTCGGTCACGCCCCCTGTCGCACCACGCAGTAAACCGACCCGTGATAAAAAGAAGGAGCGCCTCCCCCAAAAGGTGTTGCAGGACCTACGCCGACAGTTAGATATTCTGCCGCCAGACTACACCAATATCATGCACCGTGATATGGAAAAAGGAGTAGCGCCGATCCAGCACAAGACTTCCCGTAAGAAGCGGGTGGAGTATCGCGACCCCAACTCCGTGCCACAGTCCGACTCCTACCCGACCAACTCCTCGAACATTGACTACTCTCCTTCCACCATTACGAACTTTACCAATCTGGTCAACTTCTCCGATATAGACAGCACATCCCCATTTTTGTGAGAAAGGTGAGCACACCTGCCGTATGCCTTTCCTTGTTTGTTGACGAAGAGGATTGTTATTTTTTTTTTTTTCGTGTTAGATTGACGCATAGAACCTTTTGTTATACATTTAAAAGTGTTTCACTGCATAGAAGTCAAATACGATAGTGATAAGTTTTACCGCTGATAAACTGCTTCTTCTGTGGTCAATTATTCTTTCTATCGCCTTCTTTTTTTAATATAGTTAGCATTCCATGTCCCCGTGTTGAAAGGTGTTTGGGATATTCAAATCTTCGTTTTGATCCCCGAGTATAATCGACACCAGAGTTGTGAGACCAACGCCCATTGCTAATAGCGGTTACAGGATATACAAACCGATTTCAAGGCTTTTGAAGCTTACAGGAGTTCTGACTGAAATACTATCATGCACCACTCTGACGACAATTGCTTTTCCCCTTCTTAACACCGAGCTGTCCGAAGTGTTGTCAGGTATTCTACTTCTACCATTCACTTAGATGTAGGTGTTCAACCAACACGAGATCAATTGCAACACAGGCAACTTTATGTTTCGCTACAGGATGTATAAACTGATTTCAAGGCTTTTTAAGCTTACAGGAGTTCTGACTGAAATACTATCATGCACCACTCTGACGACAATTGCTTTCCCTTTTTTTGGTTTTACTTTGCTGCCCGTGCAGATGAGAAGTGTTGTCAGGTATTCTACATTCTACGATTCACTTAGATGTAGGTGTTCAACCAACACGAGAAAAACTGTGATTTCCATGTTTGCATACAGGATGTATAAACTGATTTCAAGGCTTTTTAAGCTTACAGGAGTTCTGACTGAAATACTATCATGCACCACTCTGACGAAAGCATTTTCTGTTTTTTAACTTTTTTTTTTTTCCTGCCTGCGAGAAGTGTTGTCAGGTATTCTACTTCTATGTTTTACTTAGATTTAGGTGTTCAAACAACACGAGAACAATAACGGCACAGGTAACACTTCGTTCCACCACAGGATGTATAAACTGATTTCAAGGCTTTTTAAGCTTACAGGAGTTCTGACTGAAATACTATCATGCACCACTCTGAGGATATTTATTTTTCTTGTATGCTTGCGTCGCCATCTTGTTCTCTTCGAATCGTCATTTTTTATACATGATGAGACACAAAAGATAAAGCACAGTTTGAACTGAAATTTTTTGAACGAAAATATCTTGAGCAATCTTTCTGACTCGTATCTGCTAATTTCTAATTTTCCTTTTTGGTTGTGGTCTGGAGTTTTGAGAATGAATTCATTTGGTGTTATGCATTTGAAACGTGATGAAACAAAAAAGATAAAGCACAGTTTGAACTGAAATTCTTTGAACGAAAATATCTTGAGCAATCTTTCTGATTTCTTAAAATATCATTGTCGTTTATTGCTTTTTTTTGTTTTTCTCTCGCAGTGTAAGCGGCTTAAGCCTTGGTCAGACTTTCACAACTTTCGTGTCTTCAACCATCTTGGTGCGCCTCAAGATTTACTGTCACTAATAGAACAAAGGTTCACTTTGGAGTTGTGTCTTAAACAAAATCGTGTTTCTGTCTGCACACTCGAGTGATCCGAGAGTGGAAATAACTTTCTTTTAGTCTCCAGCAATGTCGCTATGCGGCTTTATACATTCCTATAAAGTTCGGTACGAAACATCGGCGAGATTCATTTATGATGAACTGTTTTTTCTGTTTTCATTCTAAGCGGCTTAAGCCTTGGTCAGACTTTCACAACTTTCGTGTCTTCAACCATCTTGGTGCGCCTCAAGATTTACTGTCCCTGATCGAACAAAGGTTCACTTTGGAGTTGTGTCTTAAACAAAATCGTGTTTCTGTTTGCACACTCGAGTGACCCGAGAGTGGTTGTTGTCTTTTCTTTTAGTCTCCAGCAATGTCGCTATGCGGCTTTATACATTTCTATAAAGTTCGGTACGAAACATCGGCGAGATAAACTGTATTTTCGAAACACTTACTTTAAGCGGCTTAAGCCTTGGTCAGACTTTCACAACTTTCGTGTCTTCAACCATCTTGGTGCGCCTCAAGATTTACTGTCCCTGATCGAACAAAGGTTCACTTTGGAGTTGTGTCTTTAACAAAATCGTGTTTCTGTCTGCACACTCGAGTGACCCGAGAGTGGTTGTTGTCTTTTCTTTCGTTTCTTTTCGGTCTACATGATGTACACATATATCACGTGAGATTTCCGAATCCACATGAGGGAAACAACGTATATTACATGCACTACCAGCTGATCCACTTCATTTCCACCTCAACTATTCTAATGCGGCAATAATGGGCTCTTGCCACAAAACAATGGCAATCAGCGCGGGACATGTCTCAAAGAATGATATGCTTATTTTCTCCCAGTTATCATGACTCGTTCTGATGATACTACCTACTAATTAACAGCAACATCTGAAACATCAAGTGACGCTAACAGTATTTTAAAATATCTGAAACATTGTCTATCGATTTTTTTTTTTTTTACTCGCTTGATGGGATTCGAATGCGCTGTCGTTTGTAAATTTCGACTTGTGCGGGAAACGTCTCAAAGATTTTGATTAACTTTTGTTGTTTTGCGTAAATGATGTATAACCATATTTTTTTTTCACTGAGTTTTTCTGATCGAAAAAACATATCATGCACCACCAGCTGACCGTTTTTTTTTAGTACTACTGTGCTTACTTCTTCACTACCACCACCACCTTCCATCTGATGCACAACTCGTTCTACTGTCCAAACACCTTCTGACTGGTTTATGATCGAACATGAACTTTATCACCTTTCGGGGCTGAGGAAGCGTTTATGCTTTTATTATCGGGCGACTTACCTCGTCCACGCAAAAAGTTTTGAAAACCTCTGTTTTGTTTGTAATGGCAGTAATGCGGCTCCGCTCTGAAATCTTGTACCATTCACTTTCTCTCTCTTCACTCTTTCAAAGGGGTCGTTTGATATAGTTCGCTTGTCTGTTCTATAGTGCACCCAGATGAAATGCTGTCTATCGTCAGCATTGTAGCCACTTGCGTAGATCTCGAGTACCGTTTCCTAAAAACGGATAAATGAAAGTTATCCTGGAAAACGTTTTTTGATGCTTTGCTTCGTCGATTGTACTATGTGATGTATAACTGTTTTACCATCAGAGAATTTGCTGAGGAAAACTAAAACACAGACCTGCACTGAAAGTACACGAAGACCGTTTGCTTAAATCGACCGGAAGTGTGATTAAACACGGACTCTCATGTTTTTACTTTAATAGCTGAGTGTCCGCCAGTGTTACACGAGAGCCGTAAAGATACTTCCACCGGCCGGTTTCTGTTGTGCTGCTAACCGCACTTGCTTAAATGACGAAACAACTCAACTTCGTAGGGTAAAATCTGATTTTCCTGACCATGACGTCTGAAGTTCTATTTATTCGAACGCTTTTAGTTTGAATGAGAGTCCGATATGCGATTCCACATTTCACTGCTTTTTTTTTTTTTAGTTTATTCTCAAACTGACTCGATGGGATTCGAATGCGCTGTCGTTTGTAAATTTCGACTTGTGCGGGAAACGTCTCAAAGATTTTGATTAACTTTTGTTGTTTTTCGTAAATGATGTATAACCATATTTTTTTTTTAACTGAGTTTTTCTGATCGAAAAAACATATCATGCACCACCAGCTGACCGTCATTACTGCTGTATTTACTCTTTTACAAACACCATCACCTTCCACCTGATGCACAACTCGTTCTACTGTCCAAACACCTTCTGACTGGTTTATGATCGAACATGAACTTTATCACCTTTCGGGGCTGAGGAAGCACTTCTTTACTTTAATCACCTTCCACTGTACTACGTGATGTATAACTGTTTTACCATCAGAGATTTTACTGAGGAAAACCAAAACACAGACCTGCACTGAAAGTACAGTTTTCCCAGACACCTGTCTAATTCGTCCTGTTTTTCTACGTTTATTAATCTACTGCGTGATGTATAACTGTTTTACCATCAGAGAACTAGCTGAGGAGAACTAAAACACAGACCTGCACTGAAAGTTTATTATGCCCTTTTGCTTAGTGTTTACCCCGGTTCCTTCCTAGTCCATAGAAGTGTGATTAAACACGGACTCTCATGTTTTTACTTTAGTAACTGAGTGTCCGCCAGTGTTACACGAGAGCCGTAAAGATACTTCCACTGGCCGGTTTCTGTTGTGCTGCGAACCGCACTTGCTTAAATGACGAAACAACTCAACTTCGTAGGGTAAAATCTGATTTTCCTGACCATGACGTCTGAAGTTCTATTTATTCGAACGCTTTTAGTTTGAATGAGAGTCCGATATGCGATTTCACTGCTTTAAAGTTATTATTGTTCTATTCGTAATTGGATGGAAACGCTCCCAGCGCCCAAATTGTCTCAGAATGTTTGTTGCCGACCAAACACAAAGGAACTCTCGTAAATACTTTTTGTTTTATACCATTGTGCATTATTCATTTTTATTTATTTCCCCACTTTCTATCGTTTCACCAAAAGCCTTTTCACTGAAGTAGAGATGTCCTCCAAGAAACGGTCTAGCTCCAAGAAGAAGAAGAGCACCGCCGCCCCTGCGATCCCCCCCACCCTGATTCGTCTATTCAACGAGGAAGACTTTGAAAAGTATGTGGTCTCGCTCAAGGGCAGCGCTCTAGTCGCGGTGGTGTCCCCCATCAATGCCACGACCTGCAGCGCCGTGCTCTCCGGTCTGGAGCAGCTGAATAGCAATCGTGGCCCCGCACTGGCGGAGACCAACCTTTGCGTAGTATTTGCGAACAAGGACAGCGCCGCCTTGTGCGAGCGACTCCAAGTGTCTACCTCGCCCTACTTTGAGTCCTTCTCGTACGGGAATAGTGTGTTCAAGTTCTCCGGCGACAGTATGGAGAAGGCGGTTCTGATCGCCACACATGCGTCACAGGCGGCTGTCGAGGAGGGTGCTCGCTTAGCACAGGAGGCAGCTAACGCGGAGGCTTAGTGCTGTGCCGCCCCAAATCATGTAAATAGGAATGAGATGTTTCCAAGCAATCCAAAATACGTTTTTGGTGAGGTTTTGCTTTTATTTGTCCGTGCGTGTGTCCCCCCTTATCGATAGATGAGATACACTGCCCTCCATCTCCCTCCTCTTTTTTTTTTCAACACCGTAGCAGTGTATAGTTTTTTTTTTTTAATTTCATTTTTTTTTCTTTTCACATTCCATCGTAATGACGGCTGTCAAGTCACGCAATAATGGACAGGCGGCGAAGGTCATTATTTCAGAGATGTATGTGACGTGGGCTAGTGACCAGGAGAATGTCAAAAAGATCAAGGAGTCCATTAACGAGCTCCTCACGAATGCGAAGAGTAACGTCAAGCTGTCGTCCCGACCTAGTGCCAAGTACGTGGACCCCAACTCCCCTAGCAAGGAGCGGACCCCCAGTCCGGTCCACCCCACCCAGGCGGTGGCGTCTAGGTTTGTCGGGGTGGATGAGTTAGACTACCGAGGTGCCTCCCCCTCCAACTATAGCGCGGCCAGCCCCTCCGCCAAGCCGGTGGTGGACCCCATGGCCCCACTGCCAGCGAACGCCAAGGAGACACACGGCCACAACTCCCCGCCGGCCCAACTCTCCGGTAACCCGCTCGTAGACACCCCAGCCATCCCGTTAGACCTGTCTCAACTAGATAGGGAGGGTAGCATTGGGGGCTCCCATAGTCGGTTCATCCACGGGACAGGGGAGTTTGCGGCCCTCCCGCCCGCCAACATTCAGCGCGCCTCGATCAGTGATATTCCCATCTTTTACACCAAGAAGGATTCCAACGGTGTCATGGAGCCACTTCCCAGCGAGGCGGAGACACTGAGCGACTTACTGGCGAAGGAAAACGGAAAACCCGTGAAGAAGGCGCAGTTCGGGGACATCAGCTGGGGAGTCTTCAAGATACCCATTTGGCTGAAAGATATGCTGTTCAAGGTCATCGCCACCTACGTGGGGGCGGCCGCCACAGCAGAGTCCCTCACCGCCGCGCAGATAACCCGCTTTTTCAAGGAGGTGTACTCGACGCTCATTCCAAGTCGTCGTTTGTTTGAACTCATTCGTGGTAACTCCAAACAAGACTACATTTCAATCGAGGACTTGAAGGTGATGGCGAAGCACTTGGTGTCCTCCCACCCTGGGTTAGAATTCTTGCAGCAGCCGGAGTTTCAGGAGTATTATTGTCGGACGGTAGCGATCCGTATCATGTACAACTTAGAGCGGCAGCAGTGCCGTCGGATATACTGGAGAGACTTTGACCGTAGCGACCTCCCCGAGGTGATGATGGACCTCGATACCAAGGATGTGAACCAAGTCCTGGAGTACTTTTCGTACGAGCACTTTTACGTGCTGTACTGTAAGTTCTGGGAGTTAGACACCGACCGTGACTTGCTGGTAGACTACTCGGACCTTTGCAATTACGGCCAAGGGTCCATCGTCCCGTCTGTTATCAAGCGTGTCGTGGATGGCTACGGCCGGCCGCTGACGTCGGGGGAGAGCGGACGACTAGACTTTGAGGATTTTGTCTACTTTTGTCTCTCCGAGGAGGACAAGAACTCCGACCCCGCCATCTACTACTGGTTTAGGGTGCTGGACGTGGACAGCGACGGTATACTGAGCGGGTACGAACTAGCGGAGTTTTACAAGGAGAACCAGGTGCGCTTTAGTGAATTTATCGACTCCCCAGATAACGAAATCGCCTACGAGGATACCATGTGTCAGATGCTAGACATGCTCGGCTTTGAGCGAGTGCAGCACCGTCGCTTCGGTGTGACACTCGGTGATCTGCGAGCCTGCCCCACGCCGGCCAACTTTTTTAACATGATTTTCAATGCCTCCAAGTTTTTGCTCTTTGAGCATAGAGATCCATTTAGCGAACATCAGCAGAAGTTACGAATTGAAAAGACAGATTGGGATAGATTCGCCCGTGCGGAGTACGACCGTATGGCCGCCGAAGCACAGTAGTAAAAACAAAACAAAAAGAAAAAAAAATATATATGAAAAAAAATATAATCAAAATCCAATAATAATAAAATTGGTGGAGTAAAGAAAAAACAAAGGAGTGAAAAAAAAAAAAAAAGAAACGCTAGAGGAAGAAAGAAAGAAGAGGAAAGCAGATGCTGTTGTTCATTTTATTTTTATACAAGTGTATTTTTAGAGTTTTTTTTTTTTTCTCCATCCTGTTCAACGATTCTTTCTTTCCGTCCTCTTTTTATCACGCCTACATTTTACACTTCTCAAATGTTTTTTTTTTCCCCAATGTTATTATTATCATTTATTCCACCGTATATATAATAGAGACGTTTTGCACGCGTTGTACTTCTCCTTGCGTTGCCTTTTTTTTTTTTTATGTTTTGTTTTGTTATAGGAGTGATTCGTCGTGAATGGTATAAGAATAAGAAATCTCTCATTTTTGATCATATATAGTTGTTAATCCAAAAAAAAAAAAAAATGTGGTATAACGTTGATATTGCGACACCTGTGTGCTTTACTTCACTTGCGAAAACAACAGTAACTTATAATCTCCTCCCTTTTCTCTTGTTCTCCTCTACAGCAAGAAATACTTATAATTCGACACACACTTGCCGTACTCTAGTTTTTTCACGTATCCTTACCTTTTAATTTCTTTTTATCCGTCATGTCCCACCGCCACAAGTCGATCGATATTGACTCACTGCAGCTGAAAGCGCTGAGTGTACCATCGTCTCTGAGATTCTTGTTGGGCGTGGAGTACGACGTGGTCCTGTGCGTGACGGAAGTCGGTGGCCGAAAGTTTTCCTTGAACTTCCCGGTGGTGGCGGAAACCTTCCGGAAGTTACTCTCGCTCTGTGCATGCCGCTTCATGCTGGAGTGTCGTCACACTGAACAAGGGTCCGTACTGACCGGAACGGCGGTGATGCCTTTACTGCGGTACGCCGACTACATCCCCGGTGCCCTCCACGTCGGCGAGCTGATGGAGTGTCTGCTGAGCAGGGAGGAGCGGGCCAACAAGCCCACCAAGCGGAGCGGTGAGAAGGATGTGTTTGACGCGTGTCTGTTAGACTACGCCAACGAGTTCACATCGGATGCGTGTTTGAACGATGTGCATGGTTTAGGATTTTACCTCACCCAGGACTACGGTTTGAGCATGGCCTCCCACCGACACCTAGTGGAGCTCCACTTCCATGAAGACTGGGATGTCAACGAGGCACTGCGCGAGTTTCAGGAGTTTAGCGGATGGGAAAAGTTTGACCTTCGCTTCTTCGACGACGAGAACAAGAAGAAGGG